GCAGGCTGTCAATCATGCATGTCAGTGAGAACACTCACAGGATTGGTTGTGTAGACTGTCAGTCCTTTGTTTCAGTGAGAACACTCACAGGATTGGTTGTGCACATGGTCAATCATTTATTTCAGTGAGAATACTCACAGGATTGGTTGTACAAGAAACAAGCAAGCCTACCTTAGGTGCAACTTGGGTGCTGATGGGAAATGGGTGCCTTTTACTTTCTTGGCTATCCCTGCCCCTAGTCCCCTCACTTTCTGCCAACAACTTTCTCCCCAACAATGGTCATAGAACAATACTCTCTGCCAAGATGGAAATGACCTGGGCCAGCAAGATCAGCAGCCATCAGCATAAGCCCCAGAGCAGCGGCCAGTGGCCCCTGCTTTGGCCAAGCAGCTGAGAGTTCAGGCCATGGCACAGAGGTACGGGAGTGGACCGGAGGATGTCCACATTGCCCAGTGTCTCACCAGAAGATTCTCACAGCTCTGTTGTGTGGCCTGTGCCTGCCATCTCCCCCCTGTGCCCCGCCCCTCAGCCCCCCAGTCCCCTGAAGGGTGCTAAGGGCACTAAAATGTGTTTGAAGGCTGGATAGGGGGTGTGGCTCCCCGGGGGTCCCAGCAAGGACGGTGTGGTAGTTCCCCAGGGACAGCCAGCTACCACCACCAAGATAGCTTTTCTAGTGCTGTGGGCTGTGGCCTCCTTGAGATTGGAATGTGTGTTGTGTGCGTGTGTGTGTACATATATATATATATATACATATATGTATATATGTATATATATATATATATAAATCAGGCCTGTGGACGGCTTCCCTTTTCCACAAGAGATGCACTAGAGATAAATTTATGAGCACTTTAGTCAGACGATAAAATGGGAAAATATATTCCCTCATTTCTCTCAAGTAAGGACTTCTGAAACTCCCCCCCCCCCCCCCCCCCCCCCCCGCCCTCCACAAGTCTCCTTGCAGGTAAAGTGAACTGATGGTTTCTCTGAAAGGCCTCCCCTGAGCCTAAACAAACAGAGGAGAGGATTTACATCTGGCAGCTCTAGCCTAGGGATCAGCTTTACATCTGGCCAGCAGCCAGCTGTAGGAGGGCCGCTTGCTTGGGGGTCCAAGCAGCCAGTGTCTTTGAGCTGCGCCTTGGGGCCCGGTTTCATGTCACAGAGCTGGGGTACTCACCAGCCAGGGCGATCCGCCACCAGAGGAGCCAGCTGGGTGCTCTGTGTCCTTTGCTTTGCCCGTCTTCCTGCCTCAGGGCCGCGCCTCCTCCCTTCTGGTGCCATGGGAGCCCTCAAGTCCCCCAAGACTAGCAAGAAACTGGCCTCACGTACCACTCAAGCTCAGTTCCGTCTACTCTTACACCAGCTCTATCTTGTGGATAAAACAAGCAAGCAGCTTTCCCAGCCTCGGGCTGCTCTGTGAGACTCTCCTGCCTCCTACAGCAAGGATGGAGAGGACGACGGACCTCCTCAATCTGCTTTCCCAGGGCCTCAGGAGGAAAGCCTCCGCCATCAGGAAAGAAGGCAGAGGTGCTAGTTAGAGCCACTAGAGAATGTTCTGGCAACTTGACTGGTCCCCTCTACGTCCCTTGTCCTTGACTCAGTGGTGTCCTGGTTCTAGGAGTCCAGCAGCAGGCTGGCCACCACGCCTCAGACACGGGGAAAATGAGTCCCTGCGCATGGCCTACCACCGGAAGTCTGCGCTTGCACTTCCGGTGTGGGCATCTGAAATGGCCAGCTAAGTGTATGAGTTTGGCAAGGTCCTGTGCAGGACCCCAGAAGAGGCTGGCAGCTGCTAAGGACACTGCCCTTTGACCTTGGCCTGGGGAGGGATGTGGATGTGAGGATACTGAAGTAGAGCCCGGGAGACTCTTAAGAAGCTAAGCCAAGGATGTTCTATCCTTCCTATCATGTAAACTCTGCTCCCCCTGCCCCGAACTCTCCCACAAATAAAATCGGGGGTCTTCTTTACTGGGACTTATGGCCTTCTTCTGCTGGAACAATACAAATGAAATGCTTGCAACAAACCACATTACAGGAAGTTTATTTCGAATGGAGTTCATCTCCTCTCCCTCGGCTCTATCAGATGCTGCTAAGGCAGAATTCACAGGAAACGGTTTCCAAGACACCAGAGACCTGTTTGTACAACTTGAAAGGTTGTATTTATTTAATGTACCTCAAGGTGTTTTAATAATGATCAGTGTTTTAATAAAAAGTATTTCTGGCCTCTGTCGTCTCTGAAGTCTAATTGGAACACACACCAGCCCCAGGGCTGTGTACGCTGTTGGTCAATGCCTGCCCAATCCCTCAGCTCCAGGGACTGAGAGAAGAAAGCAGGCCACCAGAACCCCCAAACCAATGCACAGAGGCCCTGGGCAGTCTGGCACACAGCAGCCCCTCCGCCCCTCTTTAGACACAGCACCACCAAGGGCTCTACAAGATCCTTCCTTAATTTAGGTTTCTTAAAAAAAAAAAAAAAAGCCGGCCACCGGTGGCTCACACCTGTCGTCCTAGCTACTTAGGAGGCTGAGATCTGAGTATCACGGTTCAAAGCTAGCCCGGGCAGGAAAGTCTGTGAGACTCCTCTCCAATAAACCACTAGAAAACTGGAAGTGGTGCTGTGGCTCAAGTGGTGGAGTGCTCACCTTGAGCTGAAGAGCTGAAGGACAGCACTCAGGCCCAGAGTTCAAACTCCAAGACCGACAAATATATATTTGGCCAGGCATTGGTGACTCATGGCTGTAATTGTAGTTATTCAAGAGGCTGAGATTTAAGGATCATGATTTGAAGCCAGCTTGGATTGGAAAGTCTGTGAGACTCATCTCCTAGTAACCAGTAAAAACCCGGAAGTGAAGGTGTGGCTCAAGTGGTAGAGTGTCAGTCTTGCATGGAAAAGGCTGATGGCATCTGGCCCTTGAGTTCAAACCCCAGAACCCTGCCTGCCCCCCTCCCCCTGAGTTGTTAGAAGCCATTCCCCCATGTGGTCTGCTAGCCATGAGATTCCTCTCCAGAGGCCACATTTGTCTGGCCATGTTCTTGCTGGCCTCCTGAACAGAGCACTCTCCACGCAAGCTTCTACTCTGGGGGTGACTCTGACCACCACACACCTTTTCAGTGAGGGGGAAGACCTGGAGCTGGGGTTCATCATGTTGAAAGGCAATTGGTTTCTTACCTACCCCTGACGGTCAAGGTCATTACCACGGGTGCTGACCTCAAATCCTTGGGGAAGCCAACAAGGACAGGGGTGTCACTCTGGAGTTTCCCCCAAGGCACACCAGGTCAGCAGCTCATGGCAGTGGGGGCATGCGCCCCCGTGTGGTCAGGCCAGAGAAGCAGAGGGCAGCTTGCCAAAGTCCCAGGGCTGGACTCTCCATCCCCACCCGCACCCAGGCTTTCTGCCTACACTTGAGGTGCACAACGTCACCTCACAGGCTTCTTAGGCCAAGTGACCTCAGATTCACGGCCACAGAGAAGGTCCTTTCTCTCCGACATGGATCACAAAATGACATCACAGGTGCCAGCAGGAGCCAGGAGCTGCGTGCACATGCGTACATCTGCAGGAAATCAGTAGAACCCTGGAGCTGCCCCATGGGCTTCGATCTCTCAGCCAATCAGGAGTGTGTCTACACCTGAGGCAGGTGTTCAGAACCCACAGCTGGCTTATTTTATACCTGGCACAGGGCTCCGTCCAGCCTGGCACCTGGTGACCTTAGCCTCCATCCTCCAACCTCCCGGCAAAGAGTGCCTTGGGCTCTAGACTGGGTGGAGGAGCACAGCGGGGACAGTGGGAGCCCGCTGGGTAGAGAAGGCTCGGGGGACAAATGAAGCCACAACCCACAACTTGTACATCATGACTTCGGGTTTATTAGTGCTATGGGCAAAGTCTTCCTACGGTTCGGCTGCATGCAACACGCGTTACTCTCAAATACAGTAATCCTAAAGCTTTAGTTACTGTGTGGTAAGGCTTCTTAAGTCACAGTGTATTCTTCAAGGCCTGGGCCAAAAAAAAAAAGAGAGAGAGAGAGAGAAAGAAAGAGAGACTTCCAGACAAAATGTCAGTTCACATGGCTCTCTAATGCGCCTCCATCTAAGCACTCCAATACTGTTTGTGGCCTGGGCACCTTGCTGACCATATTTATTTGAGTCTGCGAGGAAGGAGAAAACCGCCCTGGGGGAGGGGGAGGGTCAGAGGTCAAGTTTCCTGGTGTGAGCAGTTGCTGAGGGGGCACTGGGCGGGTGTAGAGATGGATGTGTGTATATATGTGTGTGTACACAGATTTTTAAATAGGGGCAGACACCCATGCTATCTGCAGCCCTCTGGGGACATGTTTGTCCCCTCCTGATGAGGAGTCTGGTGACCTCAACTGAGGACAGGAAAAACAGCCGGAAGCATGGATCAGGGAAAACCCCTACGTATCTGGAGATTCGCTGGCCGAGGTGCAAGTCCGCATGGTTAAGAGTTTCTCAAGAAATAGGGAGTTGGGATGTTGGTATGATCATAATCTTTTCTTTTATTATTTAACTTAGGAAGATTTCCTTTTTTTTTTCTGGGTGAATACTTACAATCACAATTTGTTTTCCCACAGCTTCGGCACAAGTGACAACTGGAGTCCCGAGATGCACATTCTCATGGTAATTTCGAGGGCCCAACAGGATCCTACGTGTCCTACCCAGAGGGGCAGAAGATGGGGCTGCCCATTGCCCCCTGCCCCAGGAATTGCACCCACAAACCCACAGAGGGTGGGTAGGCACCACATTCAAACGCTACAGCTCCAGGGAGAAAAACACACATGCTGCACACCACACCATACGGAAGATCCATGAGCACCTTTCAGCAGCCACCAGGAGAAAACAGCTCCGGACGTGGCTAAATACTTGAACGATGGACAAAGGTTTGTTCCTGCGACTTGTCCTTTGATAAAGTCATATTCCTTTGAGTGTGGGGGGGGGCCACTGGGGGAGGGAGAGGAAAAAGGAAAAGGAAAAATCAAAACAAACGACAAAATAAAAGAACTGGATAGTTAAGGTTCACGTCCTTCGGGGGAGCCAGTGTCCTTGGGCAGGCTATGGGGTCAGGGTTCAGGGCTGTGTCCTTGGCTTCCGGCTCCTCTGCGCCCAGCTTGGCCTGGCCGGGTGTCCCTGGGCTCTGTGGCAGAGGCTGGGATGGGCCTAGATGTACAGCGGGGTCTCCTGGCCCGTGAGGAGCCTGAACATGGCGGCAGGCATGGTCTTCATGTGAATCTGTCAACAGAGACAGGACGCTGAGCCTCTCGCCTGCTCCACCCACCCCCCTCCAGGCCATCCAATGCGAGCAGATGACGACACCTGTCCTACCCACCCCCCAATCCTGCTCACAGTCCAACATCCCAGTGATGGAGGAAGGGGCTGGGTTCTCCGCTCCACACCGTGCAGTGCTAGCTTTGCTTTCAGTTCAAAGTAGCAATACCACAGGGAGAGAAGAAAAAACTGGACTACAATGTGCCCACAAGGCTGGGAGTGTGTGTGTGTGGGGGGGGCAGCTCAGAGCATCCCCAGAAACTGCAAAGTGTAGGCTTTGCTTCTAGGAGGGAGGGGATCAAGAGGGGCCATGTGTGCTCTTCCCTCAAGATCAGCACAGGCGAAGGCAAATGTCGGGGGGAGGGGGTGTCCAGAAAACAGGCCAGTTTAAAGAGAGTTTAAGCTGCCAGTCTTGCCTGCAGGACGGAGGCCCAGGCAGGAGATGAAGGGATTAAAAACAAAACAAAAACCCAGCCAGGAGGCCCGGCCCGCCTTCCAGCCTCTCTGAATCTCTATTCGTGGGGCTCTCTGCTCACAGCTCCCAGGCCGGCTCGCTGGATTGATTTAGGTGAGAGCATGATCGTTCCCCTGGGACAGCCGTTTCCCAGCATCTACTTAGGAAAATTGAATTTCCCCTTCTTGGAAGCTATTTGCACAAAGATGCTAATGGTACTTCGCTGGGCCTCTCTCTTTTCTTCAGAGAGCCAGCCAGCCAGCAGCGATGGCTACTACCAAACCTGGGGAAAACAGCTCTTCCCCCAGGCTGGTCCAGTTTCACAGAATCTGGAGTGTTCCGATCCATCTGAGAGATGTGGTCTGGAGCTTCCTCAAGAAATAGCACCCAGCTGGGCGCTGGGGGCTCATGCTTGTAATCCTAGCTACTCAGGAGGCTGAGATCCGAGGATCACAGTTAAAAGCCAACCTGAGCAGGAAAGTCTGTGAGACTTTTATCTCTGATCAACACGCCCCGCCCCGCCTCCACACACACAGAGAACTGTGGCTAAATGGTAACAGTGCAAATAAAAAGCTCAAGGAAAGTTCCTAGGCCCTGATTTCAAACCCCAGGACTGGCACAAAGAAGTTAGGAAGGAAAGAGAGGAAGAGAGGGGAGAGGAGGAGTGGGAGGGAAGGAAGGAAGGAAGGAAGGAAGGAAGGAAGGAAGGAAGGAAGGAAGGAAGGAAAGAAGGGAGGGAGGGAGGGAGGGAGGGAGGAAAGGAGGGAAAGAAAGGAAAGATAAGAGGAGAGAGGAAGGGGCTGGGAAGGTGGCTCAGTGGTAGAGCGCTTGCCTTGCATGCATGAGGCCCTGGGTTCGATTCCTCAGCACCACATAAGCAGAGAAAAAAAGCCGGAAGTGGTGCTATGGCTCAAGTGGCAGAGCACTAGCCTTGAGCTGAAGAGCTGAGGGACAGCGCCCAGGCCCAGAGTTCAGGCCCACGACTGGATCCAAAAAAAAAAAAAAAAGGAGAGAGGAAGAGAAGAGGGAAGGGGCAAGAAAGAAAAAGAAATAAAGGAAAGGAAAAAGAAAGGAAAAATGAGAGAAAGAAGAAGGAGAGAAAGAGAAGAGAAGGGAAGAGGGAAAAGAAGGGAAGAGAGAGAGAAGGGAAGGGGGAAGGAAGGTAGGAAAAGAAAGAGAAAGAGAGGGGCTGGGAAGGTGGCTCAGTGGTAGAGCACTTGCCTTGCATGCATGAGGCCCTGGGTTTAATTCCTCAGCACCACATAAGCAAAAAGAAAAAAAAAAGCCGGAAGTGGCGCTGTGGCTCAGGTGGTAGAGTACTAGCCTTGAGCTGAAGAGCTGAGGGACAGAGCCCAGGCCCAGAGTTCAGGCCCCACGACCGGACCCCCCCCCAAAAAAAAAGAAAAAAGAAAGAGAAAGAGCAGGAGTACTACACACAACTGATGGAATCCAGGGCTGCTCTCCCAAACCCAGCCACCAGGGGGCGCTGCACACCACCTTAGCTTGCATCAGGGAATTTGGGGGGCAGGGGGGGGGAAGGTTGTCACACAGAACCCAACCTAAATTCTGCCAAGAAACAAAAACAAAAAAACAATTCTGCCACACTAGCCGCCTACCCTTTGCCCAGGGCTGTGCTACTCACCTGGGAGCCCCTTGTACAATCAACTCATCTCGCTGCTATGAAAGTGACAGCAGCGAGAGCTGGCTGAGGCGTCAGGTTAGGAGCTAGTGATGGACACAGCCCGGCCAGCTCTGCTGCCGCCCAGTGGCCCGTGGGGAGGGGCCGGCTTTGCAGAGCTCAGTGAAGGAGCGTGTGGGAGCTAGCAAATAGGGGCTTTTCAGAAAGGACTATGAAAGGCTCACAGTGTGCTTACGGAGGGCGGGCTTCCTATGCAGGGACCAATCATTTTTGCAGGTGTATCATGCAAGCATTGATGCTGGCTATGGAAAAAGCCTGGGCTGGGCTACACCTAGCGTTAGATTCTGTCCAAACAGCACCAGGGACCAAGGGGGTGGGGGAGGATTGTCCCAGCCTTACCTCCCCCACAGAGTTAGAGAGAGCCTGGACTATCTTCTCGTGGGCTGTGGCCACCACGCTCTGCCCGTTGATCTCGATGATCCGGTGGCCGACGCGGACACCCCCTCGCTCGGCGATGCCCCCTCTCATGAGACTGCAGATCTGAGCAGACACAGGCAGGTCAGCAAGTGCGTTCCCAGCACCCCTACCACAGTTCTCTTCTCCATCCTGTTCCCAAAGATGGGGGCAGAGAGATTTTTCACGCAGAGAGATGATCCTAACAGATCAAACACCTTGCTGGTCAGCTCCTTAATGCACGAACAGGAACATGTCTGATTGCAACTGTTTTACTTTTTTGCTGGTCCCAAAGCTTGGGCGCTGTCCCTGGGATTCTTTTGCTCAAGGCTAGTGCTCTACCACTTTGAGCCACAGTGCTGCTTCTGGTTTTCTGGAGATTCGTCAGAAAGAAGAGGTTCACAGACTTTCCTGCTTGGGCTGGCTTTGAACCATGATCCTCAGATCTCAGCCTCCTGAGTAGCTAGGATACAAGGGTGAGCTACCAGCGCCAACTCAAGACCATTGTAAATAAAAGAAAAATGGTGGACACTGTGGTTTGTATAGGGAATTAGCCAGGCCCCCAAGCCTTTGAAGGTAGAGAGCCTGGGAGGTATTGCTTCTGGTACCAGCCGAGGGTGGAGGCCAAAGGTACATGCATATTCTGGATGATTCGGTCAGCCACATTTGAGTCCCTCCCCTTTCAAGGGAGACAAAGAGTAGCCAGAAAGAAGCCAATGAGCTCACGGAGAGAGAAGCCAGGTGACCCAGCCTTCAGAAAATAGGGTTCAGAAAAAAATCCCTGCTGGTGAGACTTCCAGAGAGTCCATCGAAGAGAATGAAGGCAGGGAAAGCAGGGGAGGGAGGCTGCTGGGAGAAGGGACTTGGGTCCTGATGCCTGCACTGACAGGAATCTGGGCGCAGGGAAGGGGGGAAGGAGGCGCTGTGGGCCGTACACCCACACAAGCGCCAGCCGGGAACGGAGACCTTGGCACTTGCACATTGCTGGTTTATACTTTTGTGCAGGAAGATGACTGTCTCCGAGTTGGAGCTTTCTGGATTCCTGGAGAAGAAATGTGGGATCCATTTGGAAAATAACTCTTTAACTGGGTCATCTGGAGCCTGTCTGCAAATGAACGCATGGCACTTAGGTGTAATGAGGCTGAAAATGGGGAGGGAGGGGGAGGGATTTGTGCAAAATGCTCAGCTTTTGAGATGGGCAAACTTTTGCGGGAGACCCAGGGGACCCCAGCTCCATGGGGTACCGCAGTGTGTGGGTGTTGGGCTCTCCAGGCTCAGCAGGAGTGGCTGGCTGGCTGCAACCAAAGCCATCATCAGGGCCTCAGGGGTACTGCTGACGCTTGATTATGAAGTCCCGGGTCCCAGATACAAGCCCATCAGTTCCTGTACTGCTACTGAGCATCCCCAAGCCGGGCCTGTGCCCTCTGCTGACATGCCCATGCCAGGCACAGCAGCAGCTTAACCCGGGGGTCGATTTCCATGTTGCATTTGCCACAATGATTTTTAAAAAAGGAAGGAAGAAAAGCAAAGAGAAGGAGGAAGGAGGAGAGACAGAGATCCTAGGAGAAAATATCCTGGGGGAAAAAGAGAGAGGGGCCGGGGAGGGGGGGGGGGAATGTGCACCAGGTGCCGGTGGCTCACACCTGTAATCCTAGCTACTCGGGAGGCTGAGATCTGAGGAAAGTCCATGAGATGCTTATCTCCAGTGCATCACCAAAAAGCCAGAAGTGGAGTTGTGGCTCCAAGTGGCAGAATGCTAATCTTGAGCAAGAAAAAAAAAGCTCAGGGACAGTGCCCAAACAAGTCTTGAGTTCAAGTCCCAGAACTGGCCCCCAAAATCCAATCCAATCAATCAATAACATAAATATATTTTAAAAAGACAAAAGCTAAGGAAAAGAAACTCATGCCAAGTAAACACAGGTCAGACACGGTAGGAACTCTGAACAGGAGAAGTTCAGTGTGGAGAAGGCAGGGGCAATATTCATTCAAGCCTCTCATTCCCTCCTCCATACAGCCTTCCAGGCCCCTGAGTGCCTGACACTGAGTCTAACATGGGACAGGCATTTCATACATGCCTGTTGAATAGCCGAATGAACGAATGAATGAATGAACGAACGAATGAATGAACAGGTGCTTGTTGTACATGGTGACCTTGATGTCACCAGTTAGGGTCCAAGCTACTGTGGCCGAGCACCTGCTGCCCGCCCCTCTGTTAGCAGGTTACTTGCTGTGGTCATGAAGCCTGGAGGTCTTTCTCCCCCTCCCCCTCCCAGCCTCTCCCCTTCCATCTGGACTCACCCTGGCAGCTGTGGAAAGCTTTTGCCTGTGTGGCCTGGCTCTGGGCAGCTGTGGATACTGGGCAGGTACTGCAGGGACCGGCCTGCCACCTGCCCTCTCTAGAGGAGCAGCTACCCCAGCTCCACGGCCCAGTGCCCACGTGCAGTGCCCTGGGGTCGGCCTGGGGTGGGGTGGGGTACTCACGATGCCGTTCTGCACACTGAAGCCCAGCTGGTACTTGAGATCCGGCCGTTTGATGAGGACCGTGGTGACTGGGGGACAGCTGACAATGTTGAGTCTCACCTGCGTCTGGTTCTTCAGGCCCTGAGGAACACAGGGGCCAAAGGTCACATGTGGGCTGGACCTCAGGCCTCAATGCTGGGAAAGTCTCATAGGCCTGGGCCAAGGCAGTCATAGAAGCTGGTCAACACAAGGGACTGTCCCCTGGGTGAGGCAGGGACCCCTCTGGGTGGGGGACATCACCCTGACAATCAGGAGAGTAGATGGGATCACTGTAGGAACTTAGCAGCCAGGCTCCAGGGTTGCTGAATGGATCCAATGCAGGGGGGAGGGGGAGGAGAGTATGGGGGGGAGGTTCCAGAGTCACCCACAGGGGTCACAAAAGGGGTTCTCACCATATTGAATTCTGAAGAACTTCCTCTTGGAAGAATCTAACACCCTCCACCCATAGATTCCCCAGGGCAGAGCTCCCGGCTCAGGGATAGCCCCAAGTATTAGAGGCTCTGGGGGGTAGCATGGGGTGGGCCAGCCTGGAGTTGAGGGAGGCCTTAGGCCTCAGACAGGACTAGCCTGCCCCAGAGTGGGTACCCCAGGCTGCAAGTCTGGGTTAGGTATGGGGTGGGGAGTGGGGGGCAAAGGAAGGAGGAGGAGTCTGATCCCCACATGGCTACAATTCCGGCCGGCCTGGAGTTGGGGGCAACTCTGCCTGCACAGAGTCCTGCCCCCCAACTCAAGGGAGCCTCCGTCCCCAGCTAAGGTTTAGCAATGCCCTCTCTACCTGTCTCCCGTATGGCAGACTGCACTGGGGCTAGCTCCCCAAATCCCCTCTCCCCCATGCATGGAATGTTCTGGTCTTGGGAATACCTCTTCACCTCTCAGGCTGAAAGAAGAAGTAAGGGCTGTTTCCAGCACCAGGACCAGTGGGCCAGGGAGGTAAACAGCCATGGAAAGCTGGTGTGAGACATAGCATGGGTGACAAATTCTCTACCTTGAGTTCATTCCTCCTGAGACCCTCACCCTGCCCGTCGGGGTCCCTGCTGCCTGAAGCACCCCTCTGCAGGGGGCTCAGACCCAAGCCCATGGGTCCGATGACCAGAAAGGAAACTGGCCTCTCAGCGCCCCTCCCCAACAGGCAACCTCCTCCTCCTCCCCTCGCCCCACCTGCCAGGGCCCAGAGGCAATGCAGAAGCTAAGCGTCGTAGGAACACCCCAGATAATCCGAATGGGATGGACACTTGCACGTTCAGGTTCTCACAGCATGGCTCAGCCCTGAGCTGAGTGAAAGGAAACCGTGTACTCCCTGCTCCCACTAGGCAGCTGGGGTCCCCTTCTGATTTTATTCCTAATAGACGGGGCGGGGGGGGATCAATTGACTGTCCACCATTTAGTTCCCAGGGGGGTTTCTTTTGGGCCTCGGTGTCCTTATGGATCAAATGGAGCAGGGCCGGGAGAGCACTAGACGGAGAGTCCCCTGGGCGCTCACCTTGATGATACCCTGGCAGGTGGCGAGGGGCAGCCCCACCAGGCTGGTGCCGTTGATGGACATGATCTGGTCTCCGATGCTCAGCTTCCCCGAGCGGGCTGCCGGGCCGCCGTTCATCATGTTCGCCAGAATCACGGTGGGCAGGATGGAGCCCCAGCCCGACTCCACCACCACCACGCCCAGAATCTCACCCTTGTGCTTCTCCAGCTGCAGCTGCAAAGGAATCGACAGGGGACCGCCATGGGGGCACCTGAGAACCTGATCTGGTTCCTGAGCCTCCTCTTCCCCCGTCCCCAAGACCCAGCAAACCTGGGAACCAGGAAACCCAAAATCTCTCTCCTCCTCTTTCATGCTACAAGGGCCTGACTCCTGCTGTCTACCTGCCCAAACCCTAGGAAGGCAGGGGGGATGGTCCTTGGCATCCCCCCACCCTTGTCCCAGCCTTTGCTCTGCCTAGAAAGCTTCAGAGCTCTCCCAGAAAACTGCCTGGCATGAGTTTATCCAAAAGCTTTATTCAAGCCACGTGCCAGTGGCTCACTTCTGTCATCCTAGCTACTCAAGAGGCTGAGATCTGAGGATCAAGATTCAAAGCCAGCGCAGGTAGGAAAGTCTGTAAGACTCTTATCTCCACTGAACCTGCAAAATACTACAAGTGGAGGTATGGCTCAAGTGGAAGAGTGCCAACCCTGAGTTTGAAAGCTAAGAGGCAATGTCCAGGCCCTGAATTCAAGCCCTGGTATGCACACACACACACACACACACACAGAATAACAACAACAAAAATCTTTATTCAACCAGCAGTCTGGGTCATTCATTTAAGAAGTGCTCAGTATTAATCAAGTAGAATAAAAAAAAATCAAGTAGAATCCAGAATCATTCATACACTCACTCATTCACTAATTCACAGGAGGAAAGATCTATTCACCCAACTAGCAATAGAACTATAGGCCATCTTCACAGTCCTGGCTCCTCTGTCCTACAAGTGGAAAGTCCCTTCAAATAAGCCCAGCCTACTTTAAAGAGGCCTCAGATCCCTATTTTAAATGATGCCTCCTGACAGATAACTGGACAGAGGAAGGGTGGGTGCCAACAATCATAACATCCAATGTACACATGAATATGGGGCCAGGTAGCTTGAGGGGAGGGGTGAGGTTGGGAGGGATGGGGAAGAAGGGTGGAAGGTGTGACACGGATCAAGATGCAGCCTACTCATCAGCGGACATATTGAATTGAAACCCTATGGCACAACTCCTTAATGATCATTTTTAAAATTAAAAAGAGAGAGAGAGAGAGAGAGATCCCAAATGCTCTGCAGAAATATCTGCCGGTGCGGATCGCCAATTGTTGCTAATGGCTGCGTTAAAAGGCTCGTTTTCAAGGTCATTAAGACTGGTTGTAATCAGCTTCTTTGTGAGGAGCATCTCATTTCACACCCAAGTGCTCAGCTCTGAACACGCACATGCGGGAGGCCCCTGAGTCTGGAGCATGTGAGGTTTGGTTGTCAGCCACTGCTCATCCCGGCCGGGGATGTTGAGATGACACTCGGCTTCTCCTGGCAGCTCTGCAGGAGCCTGGCGCTCTGGGCCGGGGGGTTGGGGAAGGGGGGGGTCTTACCTCCTTGCAGTTCTCGGAGTTGGAGAAGTGGATGAGGTCATCATTGTACATCTCCTGCGTGTTGATGATGTCACTGTACTCCTTCTGGCTCAGGTCCTCGGGGTTGATGCCGTTGGCCCGCAGGAACTCCTGGTAGGCCACGCTGAAGGCCTGTCCGATGGACTGGGCGATGAGCTGAGCCTGTGGGCAGTCAGGAAGGCCCGCTGGCCGTAGGTATGGGCACCCAGGCTCCACGAGACCCCCCCTACTTCTGCGCCCCGTGAGCCCCCAAGGGGACAGCCTTGCTTGGGGTCTAAACAAGCAAGAGAGGAGCTCAGGAGCCCTGGCTGGGGACTGCTGCCTTCTGCTGACATCTTGGGCTACTGAGGTGGGAGGATTGACATGGCTGCTGTGTGGTATCATCAGGACTGGGTCTTGACCCATTAAGCTGCTGTATGACCCCAACATTCCTGCACCAAGGTGGGGGAAATGAGGTAAATTCACATATGACAGATTATTATGAATGTATATGCATACATAGATGTCTATATGATTCTATATGCCATATATGATGTATTAATATGACATATTAATATATGTTATATGTAGTTATATGATTATATGTAATTATGTAACAGTATTACATTTATATATCATATGTATTGGATAACCAATACATATTAATTATATATTAATATATTTTAAATATATAAAAACATATATAACTTGTGTGTGTGTGTGTGTGTGTGTGTGTGTGTGTGTGTGTGTGTGTGTGCGTGCTTTTGTTGGTACTTCACCGTGTTCTATTTGGACCTGTTTCAGGCATGCTTTCCAAAGAAGGAGACAGGGATACTTGACTCTTCCATATTCTATTTCCCATGAGCTATAGAACTCAAGGCCGACAGGGCTGGTCCCGCGTGAGGGCTGATTGCTTTCGGAGGAAGGGGTGTACCAGGCTGTGCCCCAGGAGAGGTGGGAGATGGAGGACACAAGCGCAGACCCTACTTCTTGCTACTTCCATGGAATCTCTTCTGTAGAATAGCCTGCCTCCCACACCGCAGAGGCCTGGGCTTCGAAACATCCCAGCAGGGCCCTGCTTACACCTTGCCTGCAGGCAAACGAGGGCTGATGGGAAGCGAGAGCTAATCCTCTAAGGTTCTGGACCAGCACCAGCACCAAGCACCAGCAGGTAGGCAGCTTATACAGCCTGGGGGAGTAGTAGCAGGCCCTTGAGGGACATCCCAGGACTCGGTAGTTCCCCTTCCAGCCCCAAGAATTGGCCTCACGACTGCCCCATGCTCCTGGCCTGCCATCTGGAGATGGGAAGGGGGGTGTCTCTGCATAGGCACCCTCAGCAAAGTGGGGCTCAAGAGGATCTGGAAACAGGTAAAACAGAGATCTGGTTTAAATTCCTTTCTCTGCACGATGCAGGACTTGAGTTCTACGAACGAATATGCATCTGGAAAAGCATGCTGGGTTAGAGCATGCAAGGACTTTCCTCAAATAGGCACAAGTTAGGCACAGTTTTGAGGGCAGGCGGACAGACCCACCACCAGATGGCGCCACAGGACTGCAGGAGCCAGGGCAGAGTGGGGGAGCTGGGCAGGGAAGGAAAGGGGGAGAGGGGCGGGCTTCTGCTCAAAGGAGGGCAAGAAGAGGGTTGAGGGCCCATGAACGGCCCTGGCTGGTGCTAGCATCCGATTCCTTCACCATGAGACTTAAAGCTGCCTGCTGCCCTGAGACTCCACATCGTCCTTGGGCTGCAGGGTCCCTTGTGGAAACTCCTGGAAAAATCTGTGTTGTCTCCAGACACAATCGAAGAGCCCCTTGGGGTCTGACCAGCTGTCTCCCCCCTGCCTCCCACCTTCCCTGCTTTGCCCTAAGTCTTGGTTTCCCTCCTGTCTGTGCAGTGCTTGGCTGCACATGAGAGTCTCTCCGGGCTCTGCCTCAACCCCAGAAGACAGCAGGTGCCAAGGCCCCGAGGTGCCCGGCTCTCAAAGGCAGCCTCCGACAGGTAGGCTATGAGTCTTTGAGAAGATGGGGGAAGAGGAAGCTGTTGTGTCAGAACCACCTGGAAGAGCCCTTTCACCCAGAGCAGCTCATCCAGACAACGCCGCCTCCACCCCTCCTCTCTGGGCAGCTGTCTGGGGAGCCTCCATGCTCCTCCTGGGCCAAGACCTTTCCTCCTTCCTTCAAGCACCATTTGGGGGCATCCCACCATGGTTCCCTGTCAGCTGTCAGCCCCTGGCTCTACCCCTCTGTCCACAGCCACAGAGGCCAGGTGACCTCAAGGCTCTTCCTGTCCTGATCACCATACCAGCTGGGCATCTACCCTTGGGGAGTGGGTTTATTTGCTCCTTATACAGCCTCAGGACACACACACACACACACACATACCAATCAAGTGATTTCTTCCTGCCCTCCCTCCCCCCCCCCCATGGTGGCTTTCAAGTGACCTGACATTCTGCAGCTGTTGGGGGGGGCGGTACGGCCACCCGCTGCCTGTGGGTTTGTGGGTTTACTCACGTCCTCTGACTCGAACACATGGCAGATCATCTTATACTGCTTCTTCCCCTCCTGCGCCCCAGGCGTGGTCTCAATGCAGTCTTGGGAGGCTGAGCGGGGCATGCGGCGTCTGGCCATCAGAACCACGATGTTCCCAATGTCGGCGATGTAGGAGATGGTACGCAAGGCGTGGTCCATCATGGTTTCCTGATGGGGATGGAGAGGAAGGCCCATGTCAGGGAACAGCATGGGGACACACCATTGATAATCACTCTAGCTTTTGAGGCTCTCAACCTTGAGGCTCTGACATTTAGGTTGCGGTCATCTGTTACGTCCTGAGGATGTTAGCAACATTTGTAGCTGCTGTCCACTTGTTCCTAGTACCACTTCTCCGTCTCAAAGCAGAGATCCCTATGATCCAGCAATTCAGTTCCTGGGCATTTACCCAAAAACAATACCAACCTGGATATAATAAAGCCACCAGTACAACCATGTTCATTGTAGCACTAGTTACCACAGGCAAGGAATGGAGTCAGCCCAGATGCCCCTCGATGGACAAATGGATCAAGAAAATGTGGCGTATATACATAATGGAATTTTACTCAATCATTAGAAAGAATGATATGGTACTATTTATAAAGAAATGGAAAGACCTGGAAAACATGATGTGAAATGAAGTAAGTCAGGTCTAGAGAGACAAAGGATGCATGTTTCTCCTTGTTTGTGGAAGCCAGGTTTGGATTACAAACTCACAAGTGAATATGTTGACTGGTATGCAAGTGTATACAAATGTATTAACTGAAATACTGTAGATTCAAAGGAGAAAGCAAATAGTGTCCTAGGTCTCTTTGTTCTCCTCTTACAAAGGGATATGGTGTATATGAAGGGGTAGGGGGGGGGGAATCTGCCACCTCTAGTGCCTTTCTCCTCTCAGCAGAATCCACCATTTACAGCAGAGATTGCCTATGTTCCAGTCAGTAGGGAATGACATGTTTTCTGGCCAAGGCTGTGGGGCCGGGGTCAAAATCACTGGGCACAAAGGAGGGACACTGGAAAATTGAAAGGCACGGAGGGGTAAGGCTTCAGCACCTTCTGATTCCTGGGGGAAAAATCCCTGAGCCAACCTCCCTACTCCCAATCAGTGTCAATATCAGATCCATTCTCCTCACAGAAGCTGCTTCCAACATGGTGGCCATCCCTTCCCCTGCCCCAGCCTCTTCTTCTCTTCCTGCTCTCCAGCCCCTCAGCCAACGTTTTCATTTTCCACTCACTGCAACCCTCTCCTTGACCCGAGCTATGGATGGCCCACCTCCTGCTGGGTGGAGCCCCAGCATGAGTCTAGGCCTGAGGGTGGGGTGCAGTGGACAGTGAACAGCTGGGAAAGGCCTGTCTGCAAGGCCCAGCCCTCGCCTGGCACCTGGGAACCTGGACTTGGCGACGGTTGCCACCACATTTACTGGTAAGTACGAACAGTCTATGCAAACAACAGGATCCAAGACCATGAGACTCTTATGTCCGGTTAACCACCAAAAAGCCAGAAATGGAGCTGTGGCTCAAGTGGTAGAGCACCAATCTTGAATGAAAAGGCTTAGGGACAGCACCCAGATCCTGAGTCCCAGCGCCAAGTCCCAGTACTGGTGTGTTCACGGATTTGCACATGCGTGCACGCATGTGGGGGGGTACGTGCACACACTCACACACACACACACACACACACACAATTACCACCTTGCATTTTCTATATGGTAAACAACCATCAGGCCCGTCTGGGATCTGGGCATGCTCAGGGTCTGGAGTATCACGATCTTTCCCTTATTTCCAGGATGCCTTTGCCAACCCAATGTCCAGGTTACCTGGACCAGAGAGAGAAGAGGCCCTTCCATTTCTTCCTGAGTCAGGTGCACCTTAGAACTTCCAGACCCTGTATGTCACCCGTGCCCCCAGCTGCCCGCCCTCTCGTGCTCCATTTTAGCCCCTCCCCAATTCTTGGTATTTCACACCTGCTCAGGTCCCCCCCCATTATCTGTTTGAGCATCTTCCCTACCAAAGATAAGATAGTGATTTAAAGCAGAACCATGGCCACTGCCAGCAGACCATGGCAGAAACTAATGGGTCGTGGATAGGAAAATCCCCACTGAAGCTGGGCATCCGTGGCTCACGCCTGTCATCCTAGCTACACAGGAGGCGGAGATCTGAAGATCATATTTGAAAGCCAGCCCCGGCAGGAAAGTCTATGAGACTCTTATCTCCAATGAACCACCAGAAAACCGGAAGTGGCGCTGTGGCTCAATGGTAGAGCGCTCGCCTTGAGCTGAAGAGCTCAGAGACAGTGCTCAGGCCAAGAGTTCAAGCCCCACAACCGACTGACCGACCAACACACACACACACACACACACACACACACACACACACACACACATACACACACTAAAACACTGTAATGTCACCCACTCAGAGACAATAAGCCACCCCTGAGATTTCCACCCTTCCAGCTGTATTTGCCAGGCTGGGTACACAGGGGTTTCAGAAGAGCCTTCTAGAACCCCGACAGACAATAGCACACACCTTCTAGCCCTCTCCTCTTCTTTCCCCTGCATTTTTTTTTCCTTTGTGTAATTCTGATGGCAGCCTCATCACTCCTGATGGCTTTTGTGCTTCTACCCCATGCTCTTCGGCTCCACACAGCTCGTACTAGTTTCCACAGCCACAGAGCTGAGCCGCTGAGCCGCTGTCCCTCCCCGCCCCCACCCTGGACTCCCTTCCTCCCCTGCCCTGCCACAGGGCATTAGAGCCCGACCTAGGTGACTTCTTTTGAGCACTTACCTGTGTGTCGGCATTTAAGACTTTGATCCTCTGGGTGGAGATGAAGAGGTCCACTTCTGTCAGTGTCTGGGTGCCCCCCTCGGAATTCTAAGAATGAAGAAGAAACGGATGCTGCTGTTGGGAAACTCGTTGCTTCCAACAAAGCCTTGCACTTAATGACTTAATTACTCAGAGCCTGTGTGGAAGGAAATGGAACTCCAGAATGGAGCAGTCATTGGAAAGCTAACTGCCTTCGCTACCGACCTCCACGGCTCCAAGGCAGCGTGGAAAGCACGCTGCTGGAAGAAGTGTCTTTGGGGAAAAAGAGAGTGAAATTCGGGAATCCGGAATTGGGGTGAAGGGGTTGGAGGAGGGGGGGAGGGTCTTCACAGCCCCCTTTCTCAGCAGCCGGCAGCAGCTGCTGGTTTAGACCTTGTGGGATTCTACCCAGCGTCACGAGTCATTTAGATGTGAGCTATAGTTCTTGGAACTGGGAGATTCTGAGGTTGTCCATTAGGCAACTGGGAAGGTTATTTCCCTAGAAAGCTGATAAAAGTAGCCCCTGAGTTAAACAGTCACATGGACTCTTTGTTTAAGACCTTCCAAAAGCCGTTAAGGAGAACAGAGGCAGAATGGGTCCCAGCCCAAAGCTACCCCAACAGAGACTCGGAAAGCAGCTGGTGCCAGTCCGTTTCCTTACATTGTATTTCCCTGGGCTATGGCAGAAGCTGAGTAAGCTACTCAAGATCTGGCCCCAAAGCAGAGCAAGCTTTAATTTAATTTATTTTTTTTACACCTGTGAGGATCCTAATTACTACTGCACAAAAGCCATGGAAAAGAGAATCCTTTGGTTTGCCCACCAGGGGGTGAATAATTCTGCGTGGTCACATGGGAACCTATGGATGTAATCTTCACCTTCAAAACAACAGAAACTGTGATTTAATTACTCACTAGAAAAAAAAAAAACAATCTCACAGTAGAAGAAGAAAAAAAAATCTCTCTTCACTGACAACTCCTCAAGAAGATTGAGCCACGGAGGGACTCTGTTTTAGAATGATGAATTTGTATTTGAGCTCGGTTTTCAAAGGAAAAGATCTTTGGGGGCTTCCAATCTACCAGGGGAAGATAAATGATTTTAACTAATTAGAAAGAAAATCGACTTGGAAGCGAAGCAGCTGACAATTAGTCTCTGGGAGTGCTGTAGAAGCCTTCTCTGAGTTCTAATTTTCTTCTTCTTCTTCTATTTTCTATTTGACATGTGTGAGGGATTTTGATTTTTGTTTTGGGTTGGTAGTGGGGTGGGGCTTGAACTCCAGACTAGCACTCTCCCACTTTGAGCCACAGCTCTGTTTTTTTCTGATGGTTAACTGGAGATAAGGGTCTCACAGACTTTCCTACCCGGGCTGACTTTGAACTGCGATCCTCAGATCTCAGCCTCCCGAGTAACTAGGCATGAGCCACTGGTGTCCAGATGAGGTGTTTGTTTGTTTTTAACTTTATTCGGTGGGATCAGAGTTCAGAACCTCTTGCCCAAACAGCCAAAAGTCAATCCAAAAAGTTGTGGGTGGGTGTCTGTGTGGTGATAGTTGGTAGACAGGACTCGAACCCTGTTTTGCATTCCAAGGAACCCAGACCCCAGAGGCAGGCGAGACCTGGAGCCAAATCCAGTTCACAGAAGGGCGGGAGGTGGCCAACCAAAACGCACAGAGCCTTTACAGAAGAACACCAGAGAATACTGCGGGTTTTGGCATATGGGAAATGGGAGCTCACTGCTTGCAGGCAGACCAGAAATGGATTCATAAGGAACGATCCCGAGCCCAAAGAAAGAACAACCCTTCATGAAATGTCAGCTGGCCATGGAGGCCTTTCTGAGCAGGCTGGGCCTAGGCCCCTCCAGACACTCCAGGATGCTGTAGGATTTCTGGATCTGTAGACCCGAGGAGGCGGCTGCGGCCCATAAAATATCCCCAGTTCCCGCTAGCCTCACCGCCTGGACATCCTAGAGGTGGTGTGTGAGGCGGAAGGCAAGGGGCCCTCACTGGGACAAAGGCTTCCACATACAAGCCTGCAATGGAACCCGTTCTGCTCTGCCCTGAGGTCTGGGCAGAGGGAAATGGATGGGCAAGCAGGAGGGGTACTGCAGGGCCGGGAGTCTGCGGGTGGGGACAGAAGGACCCAAGGAGAGGCCATCAAGCTGGGGTGTGGAGGGACTAAATCTCTTGGTATGTAAACAAGTTGGTGCCAAGTCCCCCCGGGCTTACCCTGAGCCTTCTGACAACCAAGCATGTTAAGATTTTCTACAGGCCGGTGCCCGTGGCTCATGCCTGTCATCCTAGCTACTCAAGAGGATGAGATCTGAAGATCGTGGTTCAAAGCCAGCCTGGACAAGAAAGTCTGGGAGACGCTTACCTCTTACCACCAGAAAACTGGAAGTGGAACTGTGGCTCAATGTGGTAGAGTGTAAAAGAGTTCATGGACAGCGTCCACACCCTGAGTTCAAGCCCCAAGACCAACCAAAGAAGAAAAAGAAAAAAAAAAACCCTCACAAAACATTTTCTACATAAAGAGAAAGGTAGTTTCTAGCAATTACTAAATGACTAAGTTACCAAACTCAGGACTAGAGATCGCCTGTCCTCCTTTATTTTTGGGGGGGCACTGGGCTTGAACTCAGGGCCTTGAACTCTCTCTTTTGGTGTTGTTGTTGTTGTTTTTGTTTTTTCGCTCAAGGTTAGTGCTCCACAATTTGAGCCACACTTCCAATTCATCTTTTTTTTTTTTTTTGATGGTTAATTGAAGATAAGAATCTCATGGAGTTGTCTGACCTGGCTGGCTTCAAACCAAGATCCTCAGATCGCAGCCTCCTGAGTAGCTAGGATTACAAGTGTGAGCCACCAGCACCTGGCTTATTAGTAAATTCTTCAGTTAAGTGGGGAGTTACAGAAAATATTGGGTGTGGTTGCATTCAAAAGTCTAATGGTCACCTACCAAAGAAAGAAGAAAAAAAACCCTCCAGCTTCATAGTACTTATTGGATTTCTACTGGGCCCATCCAGCCCTCCCCCAGCCCCTTCCTGCTGCTGCACCAACACACACACATGCATGTGCCTGCACGCACACATACACGCACAAGGGCGCATGCGCACACACGAACATCACTGTCCACAGGCATCCTACAAACCGCTTTTTTCTTGATCTTAGCAGCCTTTTGCATCCTCTGAGCAGCATGAAAGAGGAAAAGAGAAGCAGGTGGGTACCAAGGGAAGCACGTGTGGCCAGGTTCTTTTGCAATACTGGGGGTTGAGCACCCAGGAAATCAAGGAACCCCGCAAGTCCCGCTTCACCCCCGCCCCCCACATCCCCACGTCAGGAAGGGTGGTCGACCCACGGTGTACAGAGGCCTGCCATCAGCCAGGAAATGAGCCAGCTGTGTCGTATGTCAGAGGTGTTTGGTAAGGGATGTCAGCACTGGCCCTGGGGTGCTCTGCCCTCCCCTGGCTCTGAGGATAGCATTGGGGGGTCCCTTTGCTGTATGTGGGGTGCTGGGCCCACCTCCTTCTGACCCCAGGTTTTTAGGTTAGTTTGGTGTCTGTATTGGGACTTGAACTCAGGGCATAGGCTACTCTCTTAGCTTTTTTAAACCCAAGGCTGGCATTATATCCTCTTACTGCCCGAGCTGGTTTTGAACCATGATCCTCACATCGCAGACTCCTAAGTAGCTAGGACTACAGGTGTAAGTCACTGGTCCCTGGCTTCAAAAGGATTATCTTTTTAAGGACTGGGTTTCCGATTGGGCTGTGCCTTCGTAGGGCGCTGGCAGGTCTTTGTAGCCAGCAGAGCCTGTGCCCAGCCGAGCTGCAGGGGAACGGGATGCCTTGGTTAGCCCAGCCCATGTGCCTGGGAGTCCGGGCCAGGCCGAGCTCCAGTGCCCCACCCTGCTCTTGATGGCCCCGCCCCTCCTCCCTGCCTGCGCCCTACCTTGACCCTGCTCACGGCCTCCTGCGCCTGCATCATCCTGATGTTTTTGGATGGGTTGCGTTCAGACAGCAGCTGGGTGGACCCCAGGTAGTTGGCAGCAAAGATGATTCCATCGATGAGGTCTTCCGGTTCGCAGGGCCCTGGAACTAAGGGGAAACGCTCTGAGCATGAGGCTCAGGAAACATGGCTGCCAAGACAGGCCAGGGGAGAAGGGCTGAGTGTTCTGAAGAAGAGAGACTGTCTATTTCCTTCTGTACCCATGAGTCCCTGCACAAGATCGACAGGTAGCCAGAAAATTCTGCTAGATCAGGAAGAACATTCCAGAATCCCAGGTAATGGTCACTGAAGGTAGCACCCAGGTGACAAGTCCACTTCCTCCTGACCCCAGGGGTGTGTGTGTGTGTGTGTGTGTGTGTGTGTGTGCCCATGTGCACATGTGCACACCAGTACTAGGTCTTGAACTTAGTACCCGAGCTACTCTGTTTCTTCGCTTTTTCATTCCAGGCTTACACTAGATCTATCCACTTCCAGCCTTAATGGTTAATTGGAGATAAATGTGTCAGACTTTCCTGCCCAAGCTAGCTTCGAACCACAATCCAGGCATGAGAGGTGACCTAGATGGTTTGTTTGAAAGCACCTTCCCCGGAGACCTCCCAGAATGCACAGTGGTGATTCACGTGCGCATTGACATCTGCTGGGCTCATTCCTCCTTTCCTGCCTGGAAGACCTGGCTAGCCGGCTGCTGCCAGCCTTACCCCACACAGAGGCCCAGCCTGCTCACGTGGTCCTCCTCCTCCCTGCTGCCTCTACACTATGGTGGCCCGGGGGGACCTATGCTTTGAGAACCTCCCCCTGTGGCTCCTTTCCTTGTGGATACTCAGGTGTCACTTCTGCAATCTGGGTTCCACCTTGACAGACCAAGCCAACCTTCCATGTGACCTAAGATCCTTGTGTCTGCAGTGTGCATGTGCAGACCTTTTCCTCATGCCCTGACCAACGCAGATCAACAACTATCTACCCAGCATCTACTTTGTGCCCAGGTATTAGAAGCCAACTAGAGAGGACTTCTAAGGAAGATGGGCGTGGCTTCTAACACTACACCATTCTAAGTGTGTGGGGGGGTTTCTGGGACCAATTCTTGTGGATACCAAGGAACGGCTGAGCTTCTGAGTGTAGTGACGTCCAGCCTGTCCACCCAGCCGGACGGTGATGATGATAGGCCTTCTCGTGTCTGGCAATGGCTCATTCCTGCACTGGAGTCACATAGGCAGCTGTGCATACACCAGCTGGACACCAGGGGGCAGAACTGAGTCCTTGGTACCCAGATACAAGAAAAGGTGGCATTTCTGGGAGCCCCCTCACAGAGTGGGTGCAGGTCTGTACCCTTCAGAGGGACTTGGCCTTGGGTCCTGTCCTCATGGGCCGATGACAGGGGACGGGTCCCACGAGGACATCACGCGGGGTGAAGGCTTAGCTAGCCGTCAGGGGACGTCACTTGAAGGCCTCTGTGGAAGCCTGGGCAGATGCTCTGGTCCCCTTCTGACCTTGAAGCATCAGAACTCTCCCCTCCAGCTCTGAGCAGCAGAGCCAAAACCAAGGACCTTCTCACCCCACGCCAGCAGCTAGCCCTGCCATTCTTCTTACTGTGTAAAATTCCTGCGCCAACCCTGAGTTCAGACCAGCAGAGGGAGATGGAGGACAAGGGAAGAGAGAGAGGTTTAATGAGGGGAGAGGGTTTGTCTCTTTATGATGGTTCCTTTTGGTGACATTCATGTATGGATCACATACCAGCACAAGTTTGTTTGTTTGTTGGCATGCCTTCTTTTTTATTTATTCATTTTTTTTTGTCGGTCATGGGGCTTGAACTCTGGGCCTGGGCGCTGTCCCTCAGCTCGTCAGCTCAAGGCAAGCACTCTACCACTTGAGCCACAGCGCCACTTCCGGCTTTCTGAGTGGTTAATTGGAGATAAGAGTCTCATGGACTTCCCTGCCTGGGTTGGCTTTGAATCAAGATCCTTAGAGCTCAGCCTCCTGAGTAGCTAGGATGACAGGCATGAGCCACCGGCGCCCAGCCCTTCTTTTTTATTTTATTAACTTACTTTATTGTTATTATAGAGGTGATGTACAGAGGGATTATAGTTACATGATTCAGGTCACGAGCACATTTCCTTTTGGACAGTGTCTTCTGTTCCCTCGTTCTCTCCCAGTCCCTCCCCCATCTCCACTCACAACTTGTACAGTTCACTATCACCAGTGTTCAGCGAGCTCCCATGCTACACCTTTTTACCCTTTTCCCCTCAAATTTTGTGCCCACTCTTCCCATCCTCCCAAAGATACACACGTGAATACACCATATATAAGGTAAAGAAGACAGAATGACCAAAGCTTAAAAACTCAAAAGAAAGGGAGAAAAAAAAGAAGCCTTTTGTTTGCATATTCTAGAGTTCATTTCAGTGTGTATATTATTTTATATAAACATGGAGAGGCGCTTAGGCATTGCGCCTTTGTGTTTCTCTCCTAAGAGTATCCTCTTTTGGTCTCACTGTGTGTGTCTCTATAATCCTGTATAATTTATCCTATCCCAGCGCATTTTAGATCTAATTTCCACATATCAGAAAGAACATGTGCCTGTTGTCTGTCCGAGATTAGCTTACCTCACTTAACATGATTTCTTCTAGTTCCATCCATTTCCCTGCAAATGATATTATTTTATTCTTTCTAGTGACTATGTGAAATTTCACTGTATATAGGTACCACCTTTCTTTGGATCCATCCACTCATCTGTTGTGGGGCATCTGGGCTGCTTCCATATCTTGACCAGTGTGAATAGTGCAGCAATGAACATGGGTGTGCAGATGTCTTTATCCTATCCTGGCTCATGATGTTCAGGAGTGGTATGGCTGGGTCGTAGGGAAGGCCTATGTTTAGTTGTTTAGTGGAACCTCCAGACTGTTGTCCAGAGTGGTTGTATTAGTTTACACTCCTAACAACAGTGCAGCAGGGTTCCTCTTTCTCCACATCCCCGCCCGCATTTGTTGTTGTTAAATGCACAATGTTCTCCAATCTTCCAGGGGTAAGATGGAATCTCAGGGTTGTTTTGAATTGCATTTCCTTTATGGCCAGGGAGGATGAGCCCTTCCTCGTGTGTTTCTTTGCCATTCTTCCTTCATCTTCCTGAGAAGTCTCTCCTTCGCTCCCATGCCCATTTAGCAACTGGTTTAATAGGTTTGGTTAGTTTCTTGAGCTCCTTGTATATATTGGACATGAGGTCTCTGTCTGGGAATCCCTGCACAGTTTGGAGGAAAACAGGCCCTCCAGTTTCCAGTTGGAAAAAGCTTTTGTCTAAAGCTCCCCTTAGGAAGCCTGGCGGGGGTGTCTTGTCTGGGGGTGCATGTCTGCATATCTTGTATGAGTGTGTGTGGAGGGGAAATATTAGGCCCTGCACCCTCTGGAGATTACCCTAACCACAGAAGGGGGTGGGGGCAGAGTCTCCTCCTCCTCCATCCAGGCTTCAGGCAGGCTTCCCTAACTCCAAGGCTGTACCTCATTCTCCCTGGTCTTAGAGGAGTTAGGCTACCAGGTGAAGCCCAGCCAGCCCTCAACACTACCATGGAGCACTCAAGACTTTGGCAGAGGAGCACTCTCATGGATAGCTGAGCCCACAGGACAAAGACCTGGGTCCAGAAAACATGGCTCTCACACACTGGAAGGTGAGGCTTAAGGCGGTCCCGTAGTTACAGACGGCTGCATTGGTTGAGCCCCAAGCCAGGGCTAGGAAGAGAGAATATTTAGAAAAGAGGCAATGGAGCAGGAGGGAGAGCTTTCTAGGGGTGAAGCCAGAGCAGATGCTAAGGCCCTGGGGTATGGCAGGGAGAGTAGTTTATTTTTTGGTTTTGTTTTGTTTTTAAGAAGAACTCTAAGACAGTCAGATTGCTGAGCTCAGGCCTGGGCCAACAGTTGGAATAAGTTATACATAGGCCAGATGTGAGGACCTTGGAGTCGCACCCAAGACCATCGCTCCAGGTGAGTGCTGCAACCGCTCCACCTTTAGACACTAATTCTAGCTGCATCAAGACCAACAATAAAGAGGAAGAATAAAAAGGGCTGAGAGGCGACTGCAATGGTCCAAACAAGTGAGAGACGACATCTCATCAATCTGTCACCAAGGGGCAGAGTGGGATTCACTCAACAAGCTGAGAAGATGGACTGAATCAAGGAGGGCCAGAAGAGTGGTTGCACATCTGGGCAGATGGGCCCCTGGGGAGAGGGTTGACATGGGAGAGGGGATTCTGGGTAGGTTTAGCAGCAGGAGCAGGGATGTGTTCCAAGAACAGCTTGGCAGGCAGCTGACTTAGGAGTCCAGGTTAGAGAAGAGAGAAAGGAAAGAGTTAAGGTGGTGGAGAGGAGGTCTTGGGAACCAGCCCTGCCAGGATGAGGCAGCGCTCGAGAAGGGAGGTGTGGCCATCTGTGCCTGTGCTGGCAAATGCCCATCCATGAGGAGCTGGGGTGACCAGGAATCATGGCAAGCTGTGTGTGGGTGGTGACCTTGGAGCATCCTCTCAGGGGAGTGAGCAGATGCCAGCCAATGGGGTGAGCAGCAGGCCCATGCCAGCCAATGGGACGAGCAGCAGGCTGACGCCAGCCAATGGGGTGAGCAGCGGGCCGACGCCAGCCAATGGGATGAGCAGTGGGCTTACACCAGCCAATGGGATGAGCAACATAAAGTGCCAATGATGTAAACAGCATAGCCAGTTCAGGCTCAGGAGGTGGAGGAGATGGCGGAATGCTGCTGTGTGAAGTCAATACAAAAGAGTTCAAAGGTGGTGGAAGGGGTGAGGGGAAGACACAAGAGAGAAGAGACACGGGACTTGCCTCTCTTAGGCGGAAGGACTCTAATTGTGCAAAGTCACACTGAGACCATGTGCTAGGCTGATTGTCCAGGTCAATGGAGAACCAGCCCTGGGAAGGGGAGAATGGGGTGGGGAGAGGAGACAGGAGATGAGAACATCAGTCTCTCTGCCACAAAGCCGAGGTGTGGGCTTTGTTGGCAGACTGCTTGTCCCAGAGGCTAATTTATCCTGTACCTTGGGAAGCCCGTGTTCAAAGAAATCCTATAAAGCTGACCTGTGGTTGTTCAGCAGGGAGG